CTCCTAGTTGTAGTCCGTAATAATATGGATAAAGAAGCGTCGAAGATTATTATTGAGTATTGTGGATTCTTCAGAAAATTATGCTCTAAAGTCATAGATGTAAATGAATTTAAAAAGCTTGAAGCCGATGTTCGAGTTACGCTATGCAATATGGAAGTAATATTCACTCTTTCGTTTTTTACAATTATGATCCATCTTACCCAGCATCTTGCAAGAGAGGCTAGAATCGTCGGTCCTGTAACTTATCATTGGATGTATCCGATTGAAAGGTAATTTACGGTTTTTGTTGCATTCATTAAATATATATGCAATTTAAAATTACCATACTAATGATTACCTCTTCTTATAATTTTAAGATACTTAGGCTCCATGAAACACAATGTTCACAATCAAGCTCGTCCTGAGGGATCGATAGCTGAAGGATATGTGACTAACGAATGCTTTGTATTTGCCTCACGTTACATGCGTAAGAAAAAAACCACATCTCAAGTACTTGATAAGGAGAGGAATCGTGAGATGTCTCTTAGATCAAATTCATGCATATGTGTTGGAAAACATTAATATGTTCGAAGACTATCGAATGTAACAAATAAAATCAGTAATATAGATGAGAAGTATTCATTTTACATATAGTTTATCAATAAAAACTTATATATTGTTTATATAGGCGACATCTGGAGAAGCTTAAGAATGAAATAACCGGTAGGAATGCAGCGCATAATATTCAGAAAAGACATAAGAAAGAATTTTCTGACTGGTTCAGAATTGATGTAAGTGTTTTACAATTAATTGTTGAACATTCATGATATACCATCACCTAAATATTCTTAAATTATTTGGCGTAGGTTGAAAAATCACTTCTTGATGGCACTATATTATCAGATGAAATTATTTTCCATGCACAACATCTTTATCACGAAGTAAGACGTTATAATGAGCATTTGGTCAATGGATATAAATTTCGAACGCTAGAGACCGATGATAGAAGGGTAACCCAGAACAGTAGGGTCATGGGTTTATTTGCTCAAGAATGTTTTTTAAGTATAAGAGATCAGAACCAATTCAAGCTGACATACTATATTATGGCCAAGTAGAAGATATTGTTGAGGTAATTTACGGGTTTGGTAAACCAAAACAATAGAGTTATATGATGTTCAAGGTTCGGTGGTGTCCTGCAAAAAAGCAAAAGGATCATTATGGATTTACACTAGTCAATCTCCATCGAGAAGTATATACAGATGAGAAATTCATTTTCGCAGAACAAGCTGATCAGTGCTTTTACGTGAAAGATCCGAATGTCATGTCTGATTGGGTGGTTTTGTACAAAGAGTGAAGATCTCTTGTTCTTCCTAATAACAATAAAAAAAATATTGAAGAAAGTGAAGATAATTATAGTGAACCAATTGGGTCATCTGATGACGTTTGGCAAGAATTCTCAAACACACAGATTGTGACCCTTGATTTTGGTACGAACTATATATGTTACACTGCCTTACCGATTTTCAGATTATCATATTAAAAACTATGAGGAAAATTGTATTTTCATATGAGGAGGCTCTTCAACCCGGGGGGTGATCGAAGACGGAGTATCACACCGGGTACCGGTGCTGATGATACACCACCATCTTCGGACGGGGGGTGATCGAAGACGGAGTATCACACCGGGTACCGGTGCTGATGATACACCACCATCTTCGGATGTAGGTATAAAAATTATTTCAATATTTTTCGTAAATTATTAGTTAGCAGAAAACTCATAGTGTTCATTTGTTACAGATGTGGGTTATTCATCACCCGACATGGTCAATTTAAAATTTATATTGATGATTCTCCTTTCTTATGTAGGTGCTGCTTGGACCCCGACATACCCTTCGTATACATTCCACACTGACTTGCGTTCGAAGACGCAAGACTATCTCAGTTTACCCTTCCCTCCGGACTCTCATAAGTCCAAAGCTGACTCAATGAAGTTTCACTCACGTGCCACGAGAAAGTTGGAGGAAATGATTCCTATGTTGCAGATTAGGAAAAATGCTGCACTCGCAGCAAAAGAAAGAGAGAAAGCGAATGGTAAATTACATAAATACTTTTAACTATCTCCTTGCTTATATGTAAGTATAGTACATAGTGTTATACAATAGGTCCTCGTGCATAATGGTCACTATATAGTAAGTATAGTACATAGTGTTATACAATTATATGTAAGCAGTAGTATAGTAGGGTATCACTGTATAAAATTTAGTTAGAATTCATGCATAATGATCTTTTCAGATTTATATATTTTATGATATATTATCATGTTGTTATTATTGTAGGTGCTAAGCCAGATCGCATAGAGAGCCGACGTGGCGGAGTTAAGCCTGAATCTAAACAATCACCAAGAGGAATGAGGACGGTAATTCGGTGGAATAGTTATAATTTGCCCACTGGTCCTTGGTCGATAAGATTGAATGCATACATTGGGGTTCTCGTGCGTAGAGCGAGCATTATCAACCCTTATTTTCACTTCTGAGAACTACCATGGACCGCGTACGAGGCGATATGGACTAAGCTTATGGTAACTGCATATTGCTTTAGCTTTTCATTTATTAATAATTAGTAATTGATATTAAATTATCCGAACTAAATGTGTATGTAAATCTACATGAATGCTTCTGCCTTGAGGACTTTGAGGGGTCTTGGAATTATGTGTTTAATGTCAAGGTTGAAGCAGTCCTCAAACAATGGAGGCATGAGATCAAACACTTTACTTATGACAGGTATGAGGAGGACTGGCAGAGGTTTTTAAACCTCGATGACCGAGTTGACGAGCTTCATTTCACGTCCCTCCTCATGTATTGGGACAGCGATGCCGCCAAGGTTAGTTTCATAAAAACTACTTTATAAATAAAAGATATTATTTCATTGCATATTTACTGAAATATTTTTTTTTAAAGAATAAATCCATGAAGGGGTCAGAGAATAGAAGGAAGAAGCTGTATGATCACCACTTGGGAGCACACTCCTATGCCAATCTGGAGGATGTTTATTGTCATGATACGGTATATGTCATTTAAAGCTTAAAATGATCTTAATGCTTAATATGATTATGAAATCTCATAAATGTATAATATGATAGGGAAAATAAAAAATGCCGATACACTTGAAGGCAAAAGCGGCGTATGGTACTTTTCGTGATAGGTATAGGGGTGAGGAGAAGAATCAAGAAAAGATCAAGGCAAATCTCAATTTGGTGGTAAGACTTATATATATCTTAAATAGTATTATTAACTCTATTTCGTTGAATATTACGAGAAAACTAGAACACAAATAATATGATCTTTACCTTGAATTAACTATATATTTGTGATTTAGGTGGGATTTGATACTGCATCCAAGGAGGCTGCATCAATGAGTTTGTCGTAGGAGGGGGAACAAGGCGAGTCGGACCCTCATATGCTTTCTACAGAGGAGAACATCATTCTTACGTAGAACGTAATGGCACATAATAGGTATGGATGGTAAAAGATCGATTCAATTTGAATGCTACGTTCCTATTTATATTTGTTTATATTATTGATTCAAAAGCAAAATCTAAATTTATTTCTCCTTAATAATAGGAGAAGAAGATATCCTCTGCATGGTGTTGGAGCTTCACCCGACATAAGCATAAGATCATCCACAACATCCTCCACGCCATCTATAACAACGAGAGCAACCCCAAGCTTCAGGCCATGCCATTTATCGCACGTATCTCCGCGTATTTGTTTGACAAGATTGATCCACAACTACATATTCAGGTGACTACTGAGATGACTAGAGTTGCGAGGACGGTCAACTCAATGGGATCTCATGGGGTACGCTATGGACTATTTAGGCGGTGTGATTCCACATAGTGCATACGGTGGAATCATACGGATCATAAGCTCGATTGGCGATAATTTCGGTGCTAGGCAGAGCAGCGTTCAGGTACCTTATTTTTTTTATATGTATAAATTCATTTTTGTTTACTATGTTATTAAACACCACATAATTATTTTTCAATTGGACCTTCAGAGTGGAGATATTGGAGGGAGCAGCACCCGTTCTCGTAACCGGGATAGAGATGCTACTGACGACGACGAGAGTTGAGGTTTTTTATCTTTGTTAATGAAATAAACAGTTTTATTTGTTATAACACTCTACTTTTATTCATGTTGTATACTCTATCTTAATCATGTGTATTGTTAGTGAACATGTGGTTGGATGTATATATTGGTCCGAATTGATTGATGTATATTTTGGATTGGATGGTTGGATATGTGTATTGTGTATGATGAAATTGTTGGATATGTGCATTGGATGGTTTGATTATATTTGGTTATTAATGTAACTGTTATGAATTTTGATTATATTTGGATGATTGGATGTATTCATGTGTATAAAGCAATTCTATAGGAAATTAAAAATTTTAAATAATTTTTTTTGCTGTAAAAATATCAAACTAGATGAAATTTTCGTCTAGGTTGCCATAACCTAGACAGAAATCCGTCTAGGTTGGTTTTACTACAACCTAGACGGTTTTCCGTCTAGGTAGCACCAACCTAGACGGAAAACCGTCTAGGTTGCTCCAACCTAGACGGAATTTCGTCTAGGTTGGAGCAACCTAGACGGTTTTCCGTCTAGGTGGGTGCTACCTAGACGGTTTTCCGTCTAGATTGGCAACCTAGACGGAAAACCGTCTAGATTGCCAACCTAGACGGAATTTCCGTCTAGGTTGCCAATCTAGACGGAAATTTCACATCCGTCTAGATTGATTTCCGTCTAGATTGGCAACCTAGACGGAATTCGGTCTAGTTTGTGCCAACCTAGACGGAGCAAACTAGACGGGTTTCCGTCTAGGTAAACCAATCTAGACGGAACTTAGAGCAACCTAGACGGAAATTTCCGTCTAGGTTGCTCATCTTTCTACTAGTGTGGGGAAAATATGATGAAACTGTCCTTTAACTTAATGGCACAATAAAAAGAATAAAGTTACTTACTACACGGCCTTTCCATAACTGGTAAGAAGTTAGTTCCACCTCAAAACGTACTCCTCCGATAGCATTACTCTTCATAAGCTCTTTCTCCTTATTCCTGATACATGACACTGTTGATTCTGCAATAACAGAAAATGCATAAAACTTTTAATTACTGGAAAAATATTATTGCACATAAACCCCTTGTACTATCACCGTTTGAACTTGGTACTCGTGTAGTTCATATTGGGATAGACCCTCTACGTCTAAACTTGACCATTTACCGTCATTTAGAGTCACTAATTTCACCCGGAGATAATATCTGTCAAATTTTCATGGAGATATATCAATCAAAACGTCACACAGGGGTAAAAGAGTCAAAAAAAAATTAAATTAAACCCAGGGGTCTACCTGCGACTTAAAAAGAAACAACTGTACTAGTTGTATGTTCAAAACAATGATGCTAATTAAGAGGAGCCCTATTAGCAATTTAACCAAAAAATAAAAATAAAAATAAGAAGAAAATTCATTAATTTAGTGAAGATACCAGGACTGAAATTGCTACGTTTGTCCTCCTCTTTAACACGTACCAACACCGGCACTCTTTGCTTCAATTTCTTAGAAACTCTCTGAGAAACTGAAGGATACGATATCTCACAGGTGCTGAGATCAAATGCTCGGAAATCGAAGGCCATATCGCCTCGATATCGGAATACCAAGAAATATCCCAACCCCAAACTATGAGCATGGGCTAGATCAGACCAACCAAGCCCTCCAATGTACAGTTCTTGATCCACATTTGTGTGAACTTCCACGTTCCACGACGCGCCGATTGGGTTCACCAACGAGGCCGATTCGACCTTGATCTCCTTCGTTGCGAGAACATTCGTCACGAACTTAGTCGGGAGTCGCTGCGTTAAGAGATCAGGTAGATGTCACAAAACCTGCAACATTAAGCTTGGGCGTGCATGCACTTTTCACTTAACCCATCAAAAGTTTGAACAAGTAGGGAAAACTTATTCTAGGGAGTAAAATATAGAAGAGATCGAGCATGAAGGGTTATTCTAAAAAGGGGAAGTATCTTGTCCACGTGATTTGCACGTGGCCCGTCAAGACTGACTGCGTCAGTTTTGAAGGTTTTCTGATGAAACTTATACTTGGTTAACTGAAATTTTGAGTACTTTTTGGAGTGAATTAAAAACTGCTCAAACCCCCCCCCCCAAGAGCAATGAGAGAGAGAGAGAGAGACCAGTCTATTAATGAAGCCAGGCTGGAGGACTCTGAAGAAGCTTGGGCTCCGAGGAGAAGCACATTGTAGCGGATGACGCATCTTCAAATTTCAACAGGGTGCAGTGAGATTAATGAACGAAGAGGTTGATCGATGTATATTACTTGAAGAGAGTGACACGTGGCTCGCAACTTAAGACGATGCCTTACATTTGGAGAAGAAAGGGGTTCCTCTACTAGCGCGACGCGGCTTTTAGTGCCCTAAAAGAACAGCTTTTTAGATACCAAGGGTACGAACGTTAATATATTTCATAGATGTCACTTCTTACTCATCAATCCGAAGACCGAGACCAGTCTGAGCCAGTTAAAAATGAGGTTCGACCAGAGTTGGTCCCCTGCGGATTTCCAGCCCAGAGTCAATCAGTGAGAACAAGGATGCCTTAAATTTTCATATTAAATTTTTGCTCATTGATAAATTTAAAAAAAAGAATTAGTGTAGTAAACGCGATGGGTGAATGACACACACAAAACGTGCTAGCTAGTTGATATTTTCCAAGTGTGGAGACGGTTCTCTTAATTTTTGCGAGAGAGAGGGCGCTTACATTGATTGATTTTTCCAAATGTAAGAACATTTTCGTTGTTTTTTGAAGTATGTAGTTGTTTTCTTCGATTTTTCAAATTATATGAGGGTATTTTTAGATTTGGAATTTCGCACATTATATGGTCCCCCTAGGGGCCAAGTCCTGGCGAAGACGCTTCACTGGCCTCGCCGGTGTTTCTTCCTAAGGCTCGGCAGGTGGAGCTGTCAGCGCCCTATCAATTTCTTCGACAGAGACAGTCAGCCTGGGCACCTCTGTTAGTCCTTAGCTGAAGGTGGCTTAGCGGATTCGTCAACAACTCTCAAAACAGAGTTGTCGAGCAGGTGCTCCATCTTGCGAGAGTCGGCATATGCCCTGCTCAGATCCAAACCCCGCTTCTCTGCATCAGACAATGCCCCCACCGTTAGGGGCCCCTTATTATGTTGGGCCAATTCGAGCAGTCCAACGCCGAGTCGTCTCCCGAGACCCAGATGAGTCTCTCCTTCCAATCTTTGTTCAAGTCTGGAAGATCAAGAACGATCCGTAATTTGCCCACCACTTGAAAGTGGTAGTGGGCTTGTTTTTGGTGCACTTGGACACCCAGCAGATGACCCAACACATTCATAGATGGCTCGACCTTCAACCACCTACAGATGACCATGTACCCCACCAATATAGCAATGGCGTTGGACTTCATCTGCATCGGCAATACCCCTAGAGCCCTAAACATGTGGCGGAGGAAGGTATGCAAAGGCAAGCATATGTCAAACTCCAAATACTTCAAATAAAAGAGGAGCTCAACTCCCATCATGGCGTAAACTGCTTGCGATCTCGTCGGCGCTATCAGCTCGTAACTGTGGGGGATACTGTATTTCCCGTACGTGGAGAGATCTGAGTTGAGGTAGCGTCACTATGGAATGGATCTCTGCCAACATCTCTTGCCTAGCGTTAAGACCAGAGATCGCCATTAGAACTATGAATCGTTGCCCAAAAAGTTGGTCATAGTGCTTGGCAACAATTAATACAGAATTTCAAAAAATAGTAAGCGCTCCCTCGCCACGACAACCCTATTTATATTGCAACTAGGCCTCTAAGTGTCAGACTTTCAATAGGCGAGTTGAACCCCAACCGACAACCCAGATTAATTCTAAAATTCAAAGCATCTTTTCTCGAATCGAGACAAAGCGTGCTCACTTTGAATAGCCCGCAATCTTACACGAAATACGAAGTGGCAGTAGTTGAAAAGAATTCGCTGACGTTGGCCATGTTGTATCCAAAGGAACTTTTCACATTCCTCATTAATACCTCTCATGACTCAGCAAAAACCGTTATATTTCACTCGGACCCGGCCTAGGCTGACTCCAAGTAAAAGGAGCCAACTATTATAGCTATTTTAGTGATGGAAAATAATCACCAATCGATGGCAGACAAGTGTCCCACATTATGCATAATCAGGTCAACATCTCAAGATAATCAGAAGCCCAGCTCCGTCGACTCGACACACTGATATTTTGCGAGGACGACTCAAAAGACATCACATATTGACGACCCGAAAGGCGTTACGTGTCATCTCCTAACTGAGTCGACTACTTTAACACTCCACTCGACCAACTCATTAGCTGGCACCTTGCGAGGGCGACTTGAAAAGCAGTACTTCTCGTTCACCAGACGAATAGAAAGGCGATGAATGCCTTGAGCCCCTCTTGTGTACCGATGACCAATCACCATGCCATAAATGCTATTAAATGCATTATAGGTGCCATTATTCCTCTGCCACCAATAGTATTTATGACACATTGGACCACGTCGGCACCGCACACCCCACATTACTTCGCATTAAACCGAAGTGACGTCTCCTCCACTCCTTGGTCGACACATGTAAAGTTAAAGCTGACTTGGCCGTCGGCCCATGCGTGGCCAAATATACCATCATACCCTCCTTCTACTACTATAAAAGGAGATATTATTTTCCATTACAGGGGAAGCTTTTTCCACCATTCTCTGAACTTAAGAATTACTACACTTCCTTTTACTTCTTCACACAAACTACCCACTTACTTGATCGTCAAAGGAACAACCGGGGAATCACAGTTCGCCCTCTTATGATTTGTTACTTGTGCAGAGAAGTATAGCTTGCCTAAAGACCAGACATTTAGAGAGTTAGATGACCTCAGTAAACATAATTAACTCCTTTCATTTGACTGTGTGATTCCATACATCAACAAATGATTTTCATGGATTTTAAATATTTAATTATACTTAAAAATTATTAATCTTTCTTAATTTTTTGGATTTTATAAAAATTGTTGCATAATTTATTTTTTTCTATGTTTTTGAAAAATTATGCTTCCTAAAAGATATAGAATGCATTCTCAAAGTTATTTAAAAAACAAATTATGTTTTTATTATTTTAATCATTAATTTATTTACCTTTAAAATGATGTTATCAATTTTTTAAAAAATTGATTAATTTTATTTGAATTTTTTACTAAAAATTAAAATTTATATAAAACCCACATTTTTGGTGAAATACGTATAACTTTTGGAAAAAGCTCAAATTTTTTTGAGAAAATTGTATATTTATTTAAAAAAAGAAATTTCCTAAAAAATATAATAATTTTTTAAAAAGCTGTACTTATCATGAAATTTAGAAAGATTTGGATATTTATGTATTTTTTATTTGTTCATTAGTTTGAAATTAATAATTTTCTCATCATATTATGGAGAGTTTTTGAATTTTTTATGCCTTCATAAATTTAATTTTTATTTTCAATTTGTTAGAAAGTTCTTATTTTAATTTTTTTAATAACTACTTGCAATGAAACAAACAGTGGCAATTATTCGAGTTGCGTCCTAACAAACAACACAAGTAATAAGTAGATGATGGCTTTTTATTATGGTTAATTTTAGAAAACTCCCCTTAATTATGGGTTATCTCAGAAAACCTCTCTTAACTATTTTAATTTGAGAAAACATCCCTCAAGTATGAATCTATTATAGATAACTCCATTCAACTTAAAATTTGAGAAAACCTCCTTAACTAAGCAGTGTCCCTCAAAATCCCATTGATCTTTCATGTTTTTCTCAACAAATGTTTTTAACGTCATTACATTAAATAAGACATGACTGAAATACCCCTTTGGGAGTCAACCATTTTACTTGAAAAACTCCCACCAATCAATTGAAAAAGTACTCCGCCAATTTACAATGCTTCCCTCTCTCCTCATCCTACAAAATATTGTGGTAACTCTTTTATGATTTAGGGGTTGTTAGTCCTTTTCATGTTGCCTATTTGTCACATGTCATGTTAAACTTAAGGGAAAATTGCTTCTAGCCCCCAAAACCATTACAAGTATTCTTCCCCCTCCCCCAAGACTTTTTTAATGATCCCAAAGCCCCCATAACAGTATTCAATATTCCTTTAGCCCCTAAAACCCTTCCCCACATGACCTGGCATTTAAAAACAAAAATCTTTCCCCAAAATTTGATTTAACCGCCTCCCATTTATCAATATCATTCCTCGTCGATAGTGCCATCTCATCTTTCTTCTGTCCAAGAGAATCGACAATCCCCATTGCAAAACCCTAACCCTAAATCAACCCACTCTAGAGCATAATTCTACTCCTGGTCGAAAAATGGCCAGCAAGTCAACTCCTAAAGCAGTCGTCCTTGTCGATTTCAGTGAAGATAACGACGCCTCACAGTACATTGTCTCAAAAAGACCTTCAATCACAGCAGAGTGGACTGAAGCTGGCTCGTCAATTGTTGATATTCTAGAGGATATCGCAGCCAATCATTCTCATTTGGACAAATCAGGTTATCATTATTCATTTGGAAACAGATAATTCAGCTTATCTTTTAATTCAAATATTGTGGCATTATGACATAAGCGCTTGGATCATATCTCAAAAGGTAGAGTTGAGCGTCTTGTGTCTAATGGTATTTTAGATTCTCTTGATTTTTTAGACTTCGACGTATGTGTTGAATGTATCAAAGGAAAACAGACCAAAGTTAAGAGATTAGGTGTCAAAAGATCTTCAGACGTTATAGAATTAATACATACGGATATTTGTGGGATATTCCTTACGGCATCTTGGAATAGTCAATAATATTTTATATCATTCATAGACGATTACTCACGTTATGTGTACTTATTTCTTATTTATGAAAAATCTAAGTCTCTGGACATGTTCAAAGCATATAAAGCTGAAGTTGAGAATCAACTCAACAAAAGAATTAAAACTGTTAGATCTGATCGTGGTGGTGATTACTATGACAGATATGATGGTTCAGGTGAATAACATTCAGGACTATTTGCTAGATACCTAGTGGAATGTGGTACCGACTCATAGTCCACCATACCGGGTTCACCTAGCATGAATGGTGTAGCTGAAAGATGAAACAGGACTATTAAGGATATGGTAAGAAGTATGATTGCTCGTTCTTCTTCACCAGAGTCACTCTAGAGAGAAGCACTAAAGACATCAGCTTACATTCTAAACAGAGTACCAAGTAAAGCAGTTGCTAAAACACCTTATAAGCTTTGGACTGATCAAAAACCCAGTTTAAAGCACTTACATATTTTGGGATGTCCAGCTAAGGCAACACCTTATAGGCCAAATAAAAAAATTAGAATTCAAA